AAGGTGAGCTGAGATGGAAAGCAAGAAGTTAAAGAAAAGGGAAACAAATATACAGACAAGAGGAGAAAGCAGAACAAGGTATCAGACAAGAGAGTTTCAAAGGTATAAACAGGGAGTGTTAGTGTACTAATCGACAGTAAGCTGAACAGACATTAGAGAGACAGAGAGAGGATTGAAAATCAAAGATAAAAAAATAAAAAATAAGTAAATGAAAAATATCTATATATAAAAATGAATTAAAATAAAATGAAAATAGAAAATTAAAAAAAAAAAAACCAAAAAACTTCCAAGTTTATATGCAATGCAGTTTCAGTCTTAATAATTTGGGTGTCCGTCTCAATCTCCAGTCCTGGAGTTGGTGCCTCAGATGTTGTTCTGTAATCAAGGGGATGCATAAAGTAGAACAAAAACACTCACACACACACACACCCCCCCGTGTCCCAAGTTCAAATGCAATACAGTTTCAGTCAAAGGTTAGGGAGAAAAAGAAAAAAAAAGAGTCTGGAGACAGTTCTGAGAGTGGTATCTGCAACTGTGGCTTGCCTGCCTGCTGCTCAGCCTGTAGCTGGCGGCGTTATTTATGCAGATCTCTGGGGTGAGCTAGCACTCACCTGGTCCCACAGGCTTTGTTTGCTCAGAGTTCTCCTGTGCGGGCCTCTGCTACAGCTTTCCCCTTTCCAAGCACTGGGAAAGGTGACACTGCCCCGCTTGTCAGGCCTGCGTGTTTATTTACAGTTCATGTGGGAGGTGGGTCTTCCCCCTCTCCTGTGAGTTTTCCTCCCACTGCCACTTTCACAAGCTTTCCTGCTCCTGCTTACTGGCGGTGCTGCTGCTCCTGCCAGCCCCATGTTTGTTTACAGTTCACGTGGGAAGTGGGTCTTCCTCCTCCTCTCACAAGCTTCCCCGCTCCTGGTTGCTGGGTGCGCCCCCGCTCCCGCCAGAGGCTCTCCGGCCCGCCTTGTTTATTTACAGTCCCGGGAAGGGTTCCCTTCCCCCAATCTTCAGCGCTCAGGGCGCCCCACCCTCTTTCCCGTGTGTGTTAACTGTTCTTATTGCTTATTACTCAGTTTCTCTTTTTTCTTCGGGTGGAGGTCAGTCTGTCCAGGGGGCTATGCTGCTCTGGCCCAGGCTTGTCTGTGGGACCGCAGGTACGCGAAGCTCACCTGGTCCGGTCTTCCCAAGCCGTATGGGCGCGGCCACTGGCGGCCCCGGGGCCTCCTTTTCTCCGTTTAACGTGAAGTGGAGATTCTCTGCACCAGCTGGAGATGTGGAGGGGTCAAAGTTATGCCTTTTCTCGGTGATTATGCCTGCAAAGTGTGTCTCCAGCGTCTCTCCAAGATTTCACTATATGAGGGTCGCTTTCTGCTTCCTACCTCTAGTCGCCATCTTGCTCTCCAATTATCTTTAGTCCTTGATGCTCTGTTTTCAAGATAACGTTCTGGTAACAAGATTTTTGTCTCAGATTTTATTTGGAATATTGAGCTTTTCCTTTCCAAGACTTCCATTTGATTTTTTCCTGGATTTCTGTATCTTTATGATTTCCTCTTTCATATACTGCATTGTCTTCTTTATTTCATTGAGCTGGTTGTTATAATGTTCTTTTAATTCAGTTAGTTATTTGTATCCTCTTTGAATTCATTCATTTGCTATATATCTCTTTAATTTCATTAATTATTCTTGTCATTTTTTTTTTGATTTGTTTGAGATTTCTTCCCCTTCACTATCACTTAAGTCATTTATTGCAGAGTTGTTGGCTTTTGGAAGAGACTCCCCCCTCCCATGGAAATTGTTTTTTTGTGGGGGGAATTTACATGTCTAGGGATTTTTTTTTGGTTGAGGGTTTCATTCTTTTGTGTCCTTTTAGTTAGGAATTTCTCATAGATTATTTAAGGCTGTGTAGTGGCTGTGTTGTGGGTTATTTTTTTGTCATTAGATTGGTGGTATGTAGCTCAGTAGTTGACTTGAATGCTCAAGATGTGGGATACAGCTCCCTACTCCACTCAGAAAGAGAAAACAGTTGCAAGAGCTATCACAGGAGGTAAATCACAATTTTGATACTATAGTAATCCCTAATAAAGTCCAATTATTGCCTCTGTTCCAGTGTATTTAGAGGAGTATAGGAGCATAGCAGAATCTTCGTTATTTAGGAAGATTTAAGGTAATAAGGGTGTTAATAGGAAGGACATAGGTGGGGTTACAATTACAGATAATACAGGGTTCATGGTTTTATAAGGCAGGAAGGGCTATTGAGAAAGTGGGTTGAGGTAGGTAGAAAAGATCTAATGTATTGCAGAAGAGAGGTGAAGACAATTAAAACAAACAACAAAATTTTGAAGAGAAAAGACAATCTTGCAATCTAATTATAACCTGCTAAGATTCTAGGTAATAAAGGATTATGGATGAAGAGATAGAGGTAGAGGCAAATTGTGAGAGAGCAGTTCTAATTGGAGATAGAAGGAAAGTGTAAATGGGGGAGGGCTATAGGGAAAGGACAGAAGAGGGGATGGTTTAAGATTGCATACTGAAAGGCAGGTGTCATGGTTCATATATAATAACTGTAGAGAAAAGGAACAGAGGAAAAGCAGAACTAAAAAGAAAATGAAAGAGAATACAAACTTATTCTATTCAGATATACAAAAAGAAATCAATACAAATGATTAAAAGACCAAAGCAATCAAAACCCAACAGTGACAAAACAAACTTACTTTTTTAAAAAGTCAAAATTTTCACTTGCTTTCCTGAATGGCTGTCAATATTTTTTCCTTCAGAGCCCTAGTCTTTCAAACCAGTAAATGGCAGTCTAGTTTGAAATTTGACTCTGCAATGAAGTCTGGGCTTGTTTCCAGCATAGGGGTAAAGAATTTGGAGATCTGAATACAACCTACAGTGTCCAGTGAAGGTTTCTCAGCCAATCTTGCACTCCCATTAAGCTTTTAGTTTCTTCTCCCAAGTCTCCAAGAAGTCACGGGCAGTGTAATTCCAGTGGCAGTCCTTTCCCATGTTGGAAGCAGCTGTGCATGCCACTGCAGTTTCTTTGCTGTAGCTAGTACCTGAGTCCTGTCCAACTGAAGGGCTCTTGGCAGGTCATTTTATGTAAGTGTGTCAGTTTCCTGGTGTTTTTCTCACTGGATTCTCCACTTAAGAATCGGAGCATAGGAAGATCTGAAGCTCACAGTTGCCCACAGTTGCCCACAGTTCCATTCTTCTGCTCTGCTCATAGTTAATCCATGTACTTGTATACTGTTGATGGAATCAAAACTATTTTGCTGCCAGGGCTTACTATTTTAGCAGTCCTGACAGGAATTGAGTGATAGAATTTCTGTTATTGAGGTATATCCACAAGGAATAATGGTGGATAATGTTACTGCATCATCTTTGACTTATGTCTACAATTCTCACAATTTTCCTGGTAGTTGACCAGTTCCTCATAGATGTTAATACCTGGAATTCAGCAGGTTCACTCCATCCAAACCTGAACTCACTCGCTTTTTCATTAAACTACTGTGAATTTTTTACTTTTAAGTCTGTGCTACCAGCATCTATTCAGTTGTCCTAGCCAGAAATCTAGCTATCTTCCCAGATCTGTCCTTTTTTTCTTGCCTCCAACATGAATAAGTGATTGTGGTTCATATTTATTTGGTTAGCGGTTTGCAAATTTTACTTTTTCTGTAGCTCCACAATACTGCCTTTTGTTTAGATGCATCATATCTTAACCTGCATGGCCTGTCTCACCTCCAGTTCGTTTTCTACACTGCTTCCAGAATGATCTTGCAAAAAGATCATTAACACATCTAACATAATTTCCTTAGTTCCTGGATTAGTTCTTGTAGCCCCTAGAGTAAATTCGAGCAACACTGTTGTTCCTGAGAGGTTTTTCATCTTTGTCACCCATCATTTTCCTCTCTTAGCTCCAGTGAAATTGTTTGTTGTCCTTGAATTTGTTCTACCTCTTCTGTCAACTCTTGCCTTTGTATGCTATTTTCTTTTTTGAATATTTTTCTCCACTTAGTCTCATAAACACTTATTCGTTCTTCTAGATACATCTCATGTCATTTCCTCCAGAGTCTTGTGATTCCACTTCTTTCTCCATGCTCAGTATACATTCTTCTCTGCTCAGTGCTCTCACAGTAATTTCCTTATTTGTCCATATCTTTTGTTTGCCTGTAATTGTAATCTCAAGGACTAGATGTATGTCTCATTCACATTCAAGTCCTCAAACCTGATTTCATTTCCTGGCTCATAGTAGGTGCTCAATAAATGCTTGTAAAATTTAATTGCATTAAATAAAATATGGAAGATAAACAGTAAAACTTACCAAAATGCTGTAGTTTAGGTAATTATGGCAGTAATCAGTGGACTTCAGTTAGGACTTGTACCATTTGTCCTTATTGATTAAATCATGACTTCCTTTTGGGAAAGCCTTTCTGAGAGTAGAGATGGAAATTGTGAAAAATATTAAAAATAATCCTTCATTTACACTGGAGCAAGGTTTCAATACATTGTGTGAGGTAGTTAATAAGTATCTTTTCTACTGTTATATAGAGTGTTTCCTTAGTTCCCCCCTTTTAATATAAGTTTAAAAAAAGCTTTAATTCTGAGCTTTCACTGTGACATTGGAGCAGAGTGGCAATACAAATAACCCTAAAAACCAAATAGTTTAAAAATTGTATGTTTCTTAAAATGTGTATTTAGGAATTTCTTCTTTCTACCATTACTGAAATTAGCATGGTATTATAGAACCCCAGGATTCTTAAATGTTACTTTTTCCAACTAATAATAATGTTTGACTATCTAGCCATATGCTTAACAGGTGTTTGCATCTCTGAACGCAGAGAACTACTGATGGAAAATGAAGCAATATAAGTAATAACACAAATGATTTCATTTGTATGATTAATCTGTAATTTTCAATATTTAACTTGTCTAAATGCTGTGTATATCTTTCATTGATGCTTTTTCCAGTAATTATTTTTATGTTTTCATGTTTTTTCCCCAAATGAAACAATAAAAGGATCAGAGATCAAGACATTCCTGAGGATGAGCACATTAGACCAGAGGCTGTTTCTTCAGATCTTAGCGTCACTAGTTCCAGTGTCAAACTGGGAAACATGCTGGAAGATAGTGCTGCTGAAATGCCCAGGAACTCTTCAGGTGAAATAAGCGTTGCAGTGGACAGCTCTTTACTCTGTACTTTGTCCTCAGAATCTCATCAGGAAGCAGCTAGCAATGAGAATGATAAAAAACCTGGGAACTGCCAATCTGTGTTCCAATCAGAGGTTGGCAACAGTTCACAAGATTCCACTGTCTTAGATCAGGAATTGTACAACTCCTTCCATTTCTGGAGGACTCCTCTTCCTACAATTGATCTAGATGTAGAGCTTGAACAGGACTCTGGGAAGAGACTCAGCCTAGAGACACCAGAAGAAGCACCCAGAGTCCCTGTGCCAGGTTCTCCAAACATCGCCATGGCCACCAGGAAAGAACTGGAAGAAATGATAGAAAATCTAGAGCCCCATATTGATGATCCGGATGTTAAAGGTATGGAAGAAGTCAGTCAAGTTCTTTCTTTGTTCCAAAATTGATATAAAATGTTGTGACTTTAGAAAACTTCTGAGAAAATTGCTTTCTTTCTAGACTGATGGGAACAATCCTATTTTTAGAAAAATGTGCTTATGATAAGCTCATCACTGTATCCCTTACTGTAGCACAAACAGGTCTGTTGATTCACAAATCACTGTCTGAAATTTTCACAATTTTTTAGTGTTGCACATTTATAATTTTTAATTTTGAGTTCTGTCTGAGCTGTTTTGTTCTGAATCTCATTAGCTTCTTATAAAATTATAGTTCCATGGTGTTCTTTTGGGTTTTTTTTTGGAGGGGTGCTGATTGTTGTTACTGGGGTTTAAACTCAGGGCCTCACACTTGCTAGGCAGGCATTCTACCACTTGAGCTACTCCACAAAAACAAAAAACAAAAACTCCAAAACCAACCCCTCTTCCACTTACTCTGCTTTCCATATTGTAAAGTCACAGTATGCTTGGGATAATAATAAAAGAAATCCAGATTCTGAACTATAAAAATGAAAAACAAATTGTTTTGGCAGTACTGGGCTTTGAACTCAGGACCTTATACTTGGTAGGCAGGTGCTCTAACAGCCCTGTTTTGTGTTGAGTTTTTTTTTGAGATAAGGTCTCGAGAACTGTCTGTCCAGGCTGGCCTTGAACCTCAGTCCTCCTGATCTCTACCTCTTGAGTAGGAAGGATTACAGGCATGAGCTTCTGTCTTGTTTTTTAAGGAAAGACTACAGATGAGTAGATTGTTTTCCCATGGAATGTAGTGCTTTAGGAGCTATAGGTAAGACTCACTGTTTTAAATACAATTGCACATCTACTGGATTCCTTCACTGTGAACAATAACTTTAATGGTTGTGTCCAAAGATAAAATGATGCCTCTTCTTAAGTGGAATATGTGTTGAGTGGGGAATGGAATGACATGAAGCAATCCCTGTTGTCCTGTCTGCTGGAGCTTGGGAAGAGGGTGAAAGTGAGTGGGGCAGAAGCTGAGGAAGATGTTGTTTTCCTGCTGCTCATGAGTCGGTGACCATTCATTGAAAGCTGAAATATATGTAAAACAAAAACAGTTTGGGGGAAAAAAATCCTATAGCTGAAAGTCTTCAGATCTTTTATATCACTTTCTGAGTTTTTTCCCTTAAAACATAAACTTTAAAATTTTATCAGGGTGTTGAATTAGTAGTTATCTTTATTTGACTTTCATTTATCGTGTTTTTTGGTTTTTTTGTTTGTTTTTTTGTGGTACTGGGGCTTGAACTTAGGGCCTACACCTCAAGCCACTCCACCAGTCCTTTTTTGTGATAGGTGTTTTTCGAGATAGGGTCTCTTGAACTATTTGCCCGGGCTGGCTTTGAAACACAATCCTCCTGATCAGCTAGGATTACAAATGTAAGCCACTGGAGCCCAGTTCATTTATCATAATTTTTAGAGATGCCATACTATAATTTTATACTTGGGAAAAAATAAATATGATCAAAGGTTAATTCATGTTAACATTATTTTTGTTTAACTGACTTTTTTTTTTTTAAGGTTTACTGGTATATGATTTGTATCCGTGAAAGTCACCTTTTGAATGGACAGTTCTTTTCGATTTGAGAAATGCAGTCATAGATTATAATGAGATATTCCTATATGGAGGGGAGCCTTTTTCAGTTGTAGAAAATAGTAGATACTACATAGTAAAACATGAAAAAGGTAGAGATACCGCTTTGTTTTTGTTTTTGTTTTTGTTTTTTTTGGTGGTACTAGAGTTTGAATTCAGGGCACTGCTCTTGCTTGGAAGGCACTCTACCACTTGAGCCATACCTCCGGCCCACAATGCACCCTTTTTCAAAAACCTTACCTAGAGAATTTGAGGTTTTTCCTCAAATCCCATATTTGGGATGGCCAGGCAGATTCAGGGTTGACTGAGTCCTGGGGACAACACTGAATAGAGTTCTTTTTATCAGTTTAACCCATCACAGTGAGGTTCGTAAACTACGTAGGTATAAACTGCTCTCAAAAATACAGGTTTCCTTCCAGTTTGGGCCTGGCCAAAGACTTGGGCCCTTTTAGCAGTCCTGATTAGGAAAACCATACTTTTTTAACAATTAAAATCAATAAATGATTGTTATTAGGAACTCCCCACATAGTTTGTGGGATAGTTGGAGATTGTGAAGGTTTAGGTGATTCAGCTGTATTGGCTTCCTCAGGGCAGCAGTAAGTTTGAAGTCCAGGTAGCCTCCATTTCTGACATATGTCACTGCAGCCTGTTTCTTCACAAATCCATGGTTAAATGAGGAAAACTTGGCAGATTCATGCCACTAAGCCTCCTCCACCAGATATGTGATTAAGTTGTTGATTTTTCCTCACCTAGCTATTTACATGTATCAGTAGAGTTAAGCCTTTTGAACTGTAATAGTCAAATTGATCATTTCCATTAGGAATGACAGTATGTGAGATACACGTTGAATCAAAAAAAAAATCAGCTATCCATACTATGAGTCTCAGTGGGGAAAACATTAATTCCAGCTACTGTCTCTAAGAACAACAGTCTTAAGACCATTTAGTAAGAAAACTAGCAAGATTTCAGTGTTGCTCACAAATTCATTACTTTATGTGGTAACTCTGGTTCCCAGGATTTCAATTTTTCACAGTAAGTGAAAGACAGGACTTGCTAAAGACCCGGGTGTTCTTCACTTTCCTTAAATACCTCATTGTGATGATGCTTTGTATCCTGCTAAGACTTCAGCAGTAACTAAGCATGATATTGTACTCTTTCTTTGGTTGGAGAATTGCAGCATTAGGTTTCCTCATGATTCAGCCTTAAGCCCTGTCTTAGGTCAGTTTTCTGAAGGAGGTAAGTTAATAGCATATCTCATTTAAATTTTTATGAACATACAAATTCAAGATAAGGATTAAAATGGACATAATAGAGGAAAGTATGTAGTCCACTTTGAGGTAAATGACATGGGTCAGACATTTTTTGTGAGTCTCTGGTTTAGTAGTTACTTTCCAGAACAATTGTGATGCTCTGGGGATCCTACTCACATGTCATGAATTTTAGTGGCATAAAACATTTTAATGATTATATATTGTATAGTCTGCTTTGAGTACTGTTTCGCTTTGGTTTGGGAAACTTGAGCTATCCCCAAAAGGAGAGGTGAAGTGATTTAAATAGTTATACAAATTGCAGCTGAAACTTTGACAATGAAAATACTCCAGTGGAATATTGCCTCATTTACTTAATGTAGCTGATTATGAGCTACTATAAGAAAATCCCCTTAGGCTTGCAGACAAGAAAAATTTTATAAACGCTAGAGCATGTTAATAGGTTGTCCTAGCAGTTACTGATTATTTTCTTTTTAGTAAATTTGAATTTAAAATTTCCTTTATAAGGAAGAAAGTACTAATTGCCAGGTTTAAGAGAACTACTTGGTCTGTGGTCATTTTGGTCTGCTGCAAGCAAGACAGTGCTCATGAGGACATCATGTTTGGTGCACAATGTACTTAAATTTCATTTGCAAAAAGTAAGAGAAAAGTAAACTGGAATAGAATAAGAGATGTTTAAATTTAACTGCCACAGAAATCTTTGTAATTACCATTGTTTTATATTGGCAGGGTTTGTGTGACTGCTCTTCTGCTAAAGTAGCTTAGTAAGTAAGCCTTGTCAGTTTGATTCATAGACTACCAAAACATAGTTAACTTACACTGAAATTGACCCCTTTTAATAAGTTGGAGGTGCCTCCAGCAACTAGATAGTTTTTCTCTTTTCATACTAACGCAGAATAATGTACAGTAGTAGATGGACACTTAATCTCATGAAAACACATTAGCTTTCTACTACTTCTCTTGAAGGACTAATGATTTTCCACGTTAGAAATTGTTTTCGGCTTTTGCCACGTCAGTGTCAAAAAAAAGTGCACACTTCCCTGATAATGAATAGCACCAGTGGAATACTGCTGCTGGTCTGCTCATTCCATCCATCCTTTGCCCACAGCACAGGTGGAAGTGCTGTCAGCTGCGCTGCGTGCTTCCAGTCTGGATGTTCATGAGGAAACCATCGGAACAGAACAGAGACGTGAGCTGCAAGAAGAGCTGGGTGTAAATGAGCCTCCAAATTGTAGCATAAATCAAGATGATTCTGTGCCTTTAATCAGCGATGCTGTTGAGGTAATGAGCTCAGTAGTGTTTACCAAGTGAAGGCAATGTGGAGCAGCAGTCTGTTATTGGGAAAGTGTGTGGCTAATCACTTCCTAGTTAGTGTGTTCTGTTTGTTGAGCTAATTTTTCAGCTCTTCCTTTTGCATAAAGTAATTAATTCTCATTACTCCCTATCCTTAGACATGAGTGTCATATTAAATTCCTGGAAAAGTAAATCCCAGTCCTGTCTATGACCATTTTAGTAGAATCAATGTAATGTAGCTCACTGCAGTGAAATAGTCTTACTGGAAACAAAGCCCTTTATCAAGAATAATTAACTCTTCCCTTTTCTTTTTGGAGAGGTGCTTTGTTTCTGATCGGACCATTTCACTGCAGCAAGCAACACAGTATTCTGAGCGGAAGATCGGGACTTGAGGCCATGTTGCGGAGGGCCAGTGGCATTATCTGGACTCGAGTGCGAGGGTGGGTACTGCTACTAGCATCGTGTTTGCTGCACTCCTGTAGCTGCTCATAGGACCCTTCCCTGATTTCTGCACAAACCCTTCAAGCCATCCTCTGTAGTACCTGTATTTCTTCTCCTTTATTTACATAAACACAGAGAAGAAACCTTATCACTCAGAACTCAGTGGTCCCAGATCTTACTGGCTTGAATGATAGGTTCAGGAAAGAGAGTCACTTACACATCGGGTGGCAAGAGGGTTCTTGGAGCTTTCGTGCATTTCTGGTTTTTGTTAGATGACATCTGGTATAGTTAGAAATCTGTGTAATACCAGGTCTTTGTAGTGAAACCCTGCCACTTAACGGGAGTTTTTACTACTATGATACATCTACATCTTAGGAGGTTTTTTTGTTTGTGGGTGGGGAATGATTGTTAAGTATTTGTGAAATTAGATATTAGCAGCCAAGAATAGAAATAGTAGAAGAGAAACCCAGTGGTCTCCAAGACAGTTGACTAAAAAATTCTTTCAATACTGTTTTATAAATGAAATGATTTGAGTTATCTAGACCATTTCAAAATTGCTTCCAAATTTGTTTTTGTCTTTTTGGTACTGGAATCAAACCCAAGGTCTCACACATGATATTTTTTCTGGAATTCATTTTTAAACATTTAGCAGCTATGCAGTAAGTTTGATTTAAATCAGGGGAAATTCTTACGAAGTCTTAGGCATGTTTATAAACTTTTAAAAACCTGAAGAATGAATATATGTATGTGCGTGTTTGTTTCTTTTGACAGTTTTGAAAGGTAAGTAACCTAGTAAGATAGTTTAAATGAGGAAAACTTATAGATAGAGTAGCTCTTTAAGTAGATTTTTTTTTTTCCTGGCAGAATATGGATGCCACTCCTCACTATATCCACAGCGATGCAGATGTAAGCACCAGCAGTGGCTTCAGCCCAGAGGAAGAGAGGAGGCCTAAAGTGCAAGTAAGTGACCAGAATGCTGGCTTTTGTGTCTCAGTTTTCAGTTCCTCTTCTAAAGTCTGTTTCTTCCTTTGAGTGTTTTAATTAAGTCTAGTGCATCATACTTCCCTTAAGAAAATTCAAACAGTAGCAAGAATAACACAAAACACAGACCTTCCCTGTCACACCTCCTGCCAAGCTCTTTTTTTGGGGGGCGGGGGAGGTGGGACTAGAGTTTGAACTCAGGGTTTCATACTTGCAAAACAGGTGCTCTACTATTTGAGCCACACCTCCAGTTCATTTTGCTGTGATTGTTTTGAAGATGGGGTCTTGGGAACAGTTTGCCCAGGTCCCTAGTGGCTAGGATTACAGGTGTGAGCCACCAGCATCCAGCTCTTTCTTACGTTTTTGTAGGATGTATGCATCTTGTCCCTTTTAATCTCTCAAGGTAAATGTCATCTATGCTACCTAAATTGCCAAAGATTACCAGATTAAAATGTAAAACATAAAGTTATTATAAAGTTACATTGATACCCTGTTAATATTCTAGTTTAGAGATGCTAAATATGAAGAAATCATTGGGATATGACTTGTGCTTTGCTTTGCTTTTCCTTTTCCTTTTCCTTCCCTTTCCCTTTTCTGAAAATGTATTTTGGAAATCTAGGAGCACACAAGAGGCCCTAGCCTGATGGCAACAGCAGTATCCTCACAACACCACCCCATCATCACACAATGCCGTAACTGAATTGGGCCATATGTTCTTCCAGTTGTAGTTTGCATTTGATGTTACAAAGTGCCACATGTGTGTTGTTTGCTTCTGGATCTGTGCTATTGCACGAAGTAGATTCCTAGGTCAAATGCTATATATATTTGCTTAATTTTTGTTTCTCATTAAAAAGAAATTAGTATGAATAGTGCTTTTTTCGCTTATATTGTAGAAATATTTTTAAATCAGTACATATAGATTATTTCATTCTTTCAGTGAACATTTCACATTTATTTTTTATATTTCGAAAGGGCAGTCAGTGGATTTTCTCCTCTACTGACCTATTTTGTTTTCTTAGAACCAACCAGTCTTGCATTCCTTTTATTTCTCCTTCCAAAAGTACATTGCACATACTGTATATACATCCTTTTCCTCATCTTATATAAATAGGTTGTGTACTTTTTTATAGATAATTGTTTAAATTCTCATCTAATTGTTTAAAATTTTTGGACACAGTCTCACTATGTAGCCCAGATTAACCTGGAACTCTCAATCCTCCTGCCTCAGCCTTCCAAGTGCTAGAATTACAGGTGGCACACACCATGTCTGGCTTAGGAAGGTACCTTTTTGTTGTATTTGAAAATATGCTGCTAATCGTGCACAGAGGAGGGCCTGTTTTACCATATCCATGTTTTACCATGGCCTTGGGCCAAGCTTAATATCATCTGCTACATGGAATTTACATTCAGTAATTGATTCCAGTTGGCCTTTATTTAGGCTGTTTACTGTTTTAAGATCTCATTCCTTTTTGCTCTCCTAGAGTTGCTTATAATATATAAATTTTCCTTGGCATATGTTAATCTCTTTTCAGTTACTACATACTCAGTTTTTTTGTTTTGTTTGTTTTTTTCAGTACTGGGCTTGAACTCAGGGCCTACGCCTTGAGCTACTACATCAGCCCTTTTTTATGATTTTTTTTTTGAAATAGGGTCTCAAGCTGTTTGCCTGGGCTGGACTTGAACCTCAATCCTCCTGATCTCTGCCTCCTGAGTAGTTAGGATTACAGGCATGAGCCACTGCCACCCCATGAGATACTTAAAGTTTTGACATGCTAAAATCCATTCATTTTAAAGTGATTTTGCCTAAGTTACATGTAATCTGCTGAAAATGGATCTAAATGCTCAAAATGTGCCATTGTTCTCTTTCTCATTAGGATGTTGTACCACAGGCTTTATTAGACCAGTACTTGTCAATGACCGATCCTTCTCGTGCACAGACAGTTGACACAGAAATTGCTAAGCATTGTGCATACAGCCTGCCAGGTGTAGCCCTGACACTTGGCAGGCAGAATTGGCACTGCCTGAGAGAGACTTATGAGACTCTGGCATCAGACATGCAGGTGAGTGAGCAGTGCAGGATTGACAGATGTTCACATGGAAGGCATTTTGCTTGGCTTTCAGAACCTGAAGAATTTCTGTGGGTTCCAGCATGTGCTCAGTGTCAGAGGAAATTGTGCACAACAGAACTTAAAAGTAGTTTTTGGGAATCCTCTCTTTGCAGTCAGAGTTCCACAGTTTGCTGTTTTTATTTTTATCTAATGCATGAGCAGTTGTTACCACATTTGGCACACCTAAGTTGCTAACTTAGAAAATGTGTATGGTCTGAAGTTTATCTGTAGATGAGTTCTTGAGAATGAAGAACTCCTGTTATGAGTGCTGATTACATTTTTTAAAATAAATCTCAAAAGATTTCTCAAACCTCAATAGAACTATAATGTGGAGTTCAGCATTGTAGTGCATGCAGAAGTTTAATGGTAATTATTCTCTCCTACCCTTACACCTCCTTCGAAAGAACACAGTAACCCAGGTCATTGTGTTTGAACATTTGACTCTTGTGGTTCTCTTCCTAGGCTTTGGTGACTTAACCTTCCCTATTATTAAGTCTGTTTCTAATGCCCAAAATTTGACCCCTCAAAAAAAACAAAACAAAACCCTGTTCTTTTAGTGAAATTAATCTCATTTATTAAGAAAGCAGTTGTTGAACTAATTTACACTGAGGTAGAAATAACTTCATAGTAATTATTTTTTTCAAGCATTAGTGCTATTAAATCAGCAAGTTGAAAGTTGAAAATAATCTTGAGAGCCTAATTTGTTTCTCCTCTGACCTGTGAGGTTAGGAAACCAGGCCCTAACCTCAGTGTATCCCTTGTTCACACACTTGTTAAGTGCTGGCTCTGGGCATGGAACCACAAAGGCCCAGTTTCCATAGAGTGCTTGATCCCTAGTGGTAGGAACCCAGCTACCTGGGGGGAATAGGAAGGCTCAGAGTGGCAGAGTCTGTGTCCCTTTTGTCTGCTCTCATCATCATCAGAACACTTTGCCTTCATTGTTTTGTTTATATGGTACACTTGAGTATACAAGTTTTCTTCAAGTGTGGGAGTGAAACATTGGCTGCAAACTGCTTCCCAGTAGATAAAAAGTTTTAGGTAACAATCTAAAAATTTAAGACAACATGGAGAAAAAAGATGTTTTTAACTTAAAAAGTTTCCTATAAATATAAGACATTTCTCTTGAAGGGTTCTTTTCCAAAAGTTATATGCAAAAGATTTTCCTATTCTCGTTTTTCTTAAATTGTCAGTTGCACACAGACAAGTTGGGTTTTTTTGTTTATTTGCTTTTGTCCAAGATAGTACAGAAACCAAAAGGGAAGAGTAGTGGGGATAATCTGAAATAATCTTCAGTACATGTGAACATTAGCAATTTAGGGCTCTAGCAATCAGAGAATGACAGAACTGTTAATAATTCTCAAACATTATTTTTTCCATAGATGAAATGGAAATAATGTATGTAAGGATTCACAATATCTGCCACACCTTTTTTGTGTGTGTGTGTGTGTGGTGCGACTGCAGTTTGAATTTGGGCTTACAAAGCAGGCACTCTGTCGCTTCAGCATGCTTCCAGTCCATTTTGCTCTGGTTATTTTGGACATAGGGGTCTTGTGACTTAGTTGCTTGGACTCACTTCGAATCTTGATCCTCCTGATCTCTGCCTCCCAAGTAGCTAGGATTATAGGCGTGAGCCACCAGTGCCTTGCTTGTCATACCTTTTGACACATAGACATTTAAAACTTTTAATTTTTTTGAGATTAATAATACTCAAAGTACTAGAAACTTTGTGTAACCTTGGTAATGCAGATTTTGTTCCTACAGTGGAAAGTTCGAAGAACTTTGGCATTCTCCATCCATGAGCTTGCAGTTATCCTTGGAGATCAGTTGACAGCTGCAGATCTGGTTCCAATCTTTAATGGATTTTTAAAAGACCTTGATGAAGTCAGGATAGGTGTCCTTAAACACTTGCATGATTTTCTGAAGGTAACTTTTAAATTCTTTTGCATAAAAACATACTAAAATTATACTCTAAACCTAAATCTGTGTGTGTGTGTGTGTGTGTGTGTATGCATGCATACATGCATGAGAGAGAGAAATAGCAAGGATTTCTGTATGTTACTTTGTAAGGAAATACATAGTTATGAGTTGGTGGTAACATGTGACTTAAGAAATGATCCCATTCTAGTCAATTTTGCTGGTGTCTTTTTAATTTTGTTGTTGTTATTTCAAGATACTTTATTTTCAAAACAGGTCACAACACTAAGCTTTTGGCCCATTCTGCCACTGTACAAGCTACAAATGCTTGCTCAGCAGCTGAGAGGCACTCATTTTAATTTTTTAATTTAAAAATAACTATGCTAGCTAGTACCTGCCAAGGTGGTACACACGTGTGCTTTTCCAGATCATTATACTTTAAGGTATAATGGTAATACATCCAGTCACTAGGATACAGGGTCAAATCATTTCTCTTTAAGAAGCAGCCATTTACTGTGGTTATTAATAAAAAGTTGGAGAAGTAAATTTTTGAGCTCTGTGAATGTCTTTTCCCCAGTACTGTAGCCAGACATGTTCTTGCATGAGTTGGTTTTTATTGTGTGGGTCCTATTTTTATAATTCCCTCTACATTATTAGGTAATATCCCCATGGGATGACAACCCTTCTCTCCCTTCCCCTCTTTGAAAGCTTTTACAGTACGGGAGTGGACTCGAGGATTTTTTATTTTATTCAGTGTAATGCAGCATTCTGTCACTCATTTAAAAATCAGATTTAGGTAATGGGAACCCCTCAAAGCTTCCTCCTTTGTCCTGATTTGTCCCCTCATTTTAAAGCACATCTTTCCTCTCAGGCTCACTTCTCCCCTGCCCAGTGCTCTGGATTCAGCCACTTCTCCAAGGAGCTTTGCTGCTTGTTAGTAGCAGGTGTTGTTGGAAGCCAGGCTGTGTGCCCAGGGAATGCTCGTTGTTCCTAGGGGTCGTTTCTTTTAGGCTTTTTCAGGAGATAGCCAAGAGGTTGTTTTGTTTGCAGTTATTGAGTTCATTTTCCTAAACTTAAATTTATTTTCTAACTGATAAATAAAACATAAAAATTGTACATATTAGTGGGGCACCAAATATACCTGTTACCTCCTTGAATGTTCTTGAACTCCTGTTTATACAAACTACTACTAATCCAATATCACGTCCTTCTCTTTTCTTCATGTCATTTTTTTTTCTCTTATGGTAAAGACTGTTCTGGACATTAATATTATATATTAATAATATTCCTAAAAATATGATTCAAAGGCAAAATCAACTGTGATGGCCAAGATTTCCTTCGGTGCACTCTGTCCTTACTAGAACATGCCCCAGGATGATGTAGTCATAATACCAAGTTCAAGCTTGGTATCAAGCTTGGGTATTTCTCCTACATAAATGTCTTCTAGTTCATGTAGAGTTTGATTTGTTTCTGAGTTTTCCTCTTGTTGACTATAAACCTGTTTTCAAATATTGGATAAGTTCTTCTCATTCAGCACGTATGTGGTAAGCACCTGCTGTATGTCATCATAGTTCCATACACTGACTTCATTTGTGTGATATGAGTAGTGGTAACAAGGATGTCCTGTGAATAAGAGGCTGAGCTCTGCCTAGGATACTGTACCCAGTATTCTGAGATCGGTGATAGGCAGAGATTTTCAAAGAAGATATTGACTCTTGAGGTAAATGGAATTATTCAGGGAAAAATGAGTTCAGTATCCATTTCTAAAATAATTAAATACAGATGACACATTTCTTCTTTAATATAATTAACCATATTTTTATAGTCTTATTTTCAAGCATTCAGATACTGTACCTGTACTTGTTCAATAAAAATATTTTAATTTTGTTACTCCAGCTTCTTCATATTGACAAAAGAAGAGAATATCTTTATCAACTTCAGGAGTTTTTGGTGACAGATAATAGTAGAAATTGGCGCTTTCGAGCTGAACTGGCTGAGTAAGTCCTAACAGCTTATTAGATCATATGTTGGAGAGGTGTCCATTTACTTCAATTCTTCCTTTTCTGCATTCCCTTACTGCCTTGTGCAGATCTAAGCTTCTGTCTGGTGTCCTGTTCTTGGTTCATTTCTTGTACCTCCTGTCTTCCGTGGTGTAGGGTGTGAGCAAATGTAGTCAGCATCCACTGGCCATGGGCTTGTGGCTGTGGACATCACCCGTCTACCATGGCCTTTCATTGTTATTCATGATTCTGGTGACTGGAAAGTGGAAATGGCATGGTGTTGCTTTCTGGCTACATCACAGCATAGTGGAGAAGTGGAAAGGGAATTTGCCTCCATTTGTGAGCAAGGAACAGAAAGATGGGGGCAGGCCAGGTTCACTCTGTATGTGCAGGGGCTGGAGAGGGGATGGTTGCTGGGAATTACACATGCTGGGCAAGTGCTGTGCCCTGAGCAGGGCTCACTCTTAACACAACCCACCCTCCACTGTCTTGGAACTGATCCAGTCCTGTGTAACTGACCATTCCTACCGGCGCAGCAGCATTGATCCGCTCATGAGGTTGAGGCCCCAGGACCTAATTACCTCATACTGAAAGTTCCACCAGTCACAGTGGGCACAAGCTTGCAGGGCAAGCTCTTGGGGAACAAATCACATCGAAACCATAGCGCAATGGATACAGTTCCACAGCTTTTTGCTAGTTACTTCTCCAGGAAAGAGATACTCCTTGAACTTGCAGTGTTCAAATGCATTTCCAGATATTACGAGACTGCTTACTCACTAGTCTGTGTGTGCTTATAAGTATTGAGTACTCAATATTACAAAGTATTGGAATGATTAACCTATTTTAACTGTTTTTGTCATTCATCTTTGTAGGCAGCTGATACTACTTCTAGAATTATATAGTCCCAGAGATGTTTATGACTATTTACGGCCCATTGCTCTAAATCTGTGTGCAGACAAAGTTTCTTCTGTTCGCTGGATTTCCTACAAGCTGGTAGGTTTTAAGCTTTTAAACTATTTGATCAGCAAACTGTCATATAAGATCACAGAACAGAAGAGGTTCCTTACTACTTCCATGTTCCTCCCCTAGGTCAGTGAGATGGTGAAGAAGCTGCACACAGAGACACCCCCAACCTTTGGAGTAGAACTCATCAATGAGCTGGTGGAGAATTTTGGCAGGTGCCCCAAGTGGTCTGGTCGGCAAGCCTTTGTCTTCGTCTGCCAGGTAAGAATGGCTTGAGCACACTTTCTTGCAAAGGTTCTCCTGGAACCATGTTTCTTCTTCCAATTCCTGCCTCTCCTTTCACACCCTCTTCCTTACTGTATAGGAACAGCATTAAGTCTGGCATTTATAGGATCATCTACTTCTCAAAGGTGGGCATCTGTCAGGCTCATCCTCTTGAGCTGGACCTTTCTCTCCCAGTCAGCTGAGTACACCCTAAAGCTGGCATATAACATGCACATATACATACATACATACATACATACACAGGGACCATGCACTCAAGGGCCAGAGCACAGGTTGGAAATTAAGGTATAACCTGACTACTATAGGTCTCTGCAGAGCAGTTTAAAAACTGAATCTGAATCTATGGGGAGTTAACTGCCACTTTAAAAACTTTTATTTATTACTAATTGACACAGAAAAATTGTACATGTTTAGGATTGTATGAAGTTCCAATACATGTAGACATTGTTTAATGCTTATATCAGGGTAAGGATGTCCACTCAAATATTTATCATGTCAAAATCTTTACTTCTATCTGAAATTTATAGTACATCTTCATTATCTGTAGTCACCCTACTGTGCATTAGGACACTAGGACTTATTTCACTTATTTAACTATACCTTAATACCTTTCCTCATTCCAATCATGTCTTTTTTTTCCCCCCAACTGCGTGCAATACTGGTTAAAAGTATCAACTAAGATTTGCACCTTTTGCTAGTTGTACTATAGTTTGCTAGCTAAACAGTTGCTTCTTTCTCCAGACTGTTATTGAGGATGACTGCCTCCCGATGGACCAGTTTGCGGTGCATCTGATGCCACATTTGCTGACCTTAGCGAATGACAGGGTTCCAAATGTTAGAGTGCTGCTTGCAAAAACATTAAGACAAACTCTCCTAGAAAAAGGTAGGTAGGTAGGTGGTGTGCAGGGGTTCATGGACTACACTGATGAGGTAGATACCAAAACAGAACTGAAAAGTCATGAAAATAACTTGGCAGAAGGGTATACTTAAGTTGAAGGTGGTTCTCGGAAGGTCTAGAAGATTAAAGGTTCTCCTAATTAGGACTGTCCTGACTTGGTGAAATGTTTTGTTTTATCTTGGGCATATATCACTTTTGTAACTTAAAATTTATTAATCTTAGCTGGTGGCTCATGCCTATAATCCTAGCTGCACAGGAGACAAAGATCAGGAGGATTGCCGTTCAAAGCCAGCTCTGGGCAAATAGTTCACGGGAACGTATCTCAAAAAAGGCCTCGGGGAGCAGCTCAGGTGAGGCCTGGGGAAACGTGTGGCCCTGAGTTCAAACCCCAGTGCCACAAAAAAAAAAAAAATCTTAAAAATTTGGACATTTGCACATGACCATGAGAAGCCTTTGCCATTCATCCCATCCCTTGGTGTCTGGCACTGTAGTTTCTCCTCCTCTTCACTCATTAGACAGAAGAGAGGTATTTGTTTTGCAGCAAATGTAAGCTCTGGATTCAGGTTGGCATTGCATCTGCCCTCCCTAACTGGCCTCTGAAATATGGTTGAGTGCATGAACTCATGAATGAAACTCAGAAGCAGCTTTAGTTAACATTAGAGAATAAAAATAAATGAATATTGCTTCTTTTTCTTTGCCATTCATGTAAATTTTTAAAAGAGTGATAAAATAAAAAAGGGAAGACCTTTTTTTAAAAATTTTTAAGTGACAGTGATAGAGTTTATTAGAGGAGTACGCTTTTAGTAGACTGAAAGCGGGTAGTCTTCAGAACAACGATAGGCTTGGTTTTGAGAGTATGCATGTAGTTGGCGTTTAGAAGTGTTTTTCCTTTTACTAAAGTAATAGTTAGAAAGCATATTTTAATTATTATTAGTATAAAATGCCTTAGATGTCATTCAATATCATGATTTCATCTGTCATAAAAACAAAATAAATCTTACAATTCTCTTTATTCCAGGATCTTTTTCTATGACAAATTAGTTTGAATTACTGTTTATGATTAAGCATGGCTTGTATTTATACTTGTAGAAAAATTGTGTTTATAAACATCAAGCTCATCTCATGTACTCTGTGCATGTATCGTTTCCAGAATGTTTCTTAGCCTCTGCCGGCTGTCATCAGGAAGCCGTGGAGCAAACCGTCATGGCGCTTCAGATGGACCGAGACAGCGATGTCAAGTATTTTGCAAGCATCCATCCCACCAGTACCAAAATCTCTGAAGATGCCATGAGCACAGCTTCCTCAACCTACTAGAAAATCTGAACTTTATTGTCCTCCTGCTTCCATGAGAGTTGAGGTTCAACCTCCCCACAAAGATCTGAGACAGCTGTGGGGCTAGAGACCTTCCCACTGACTCATTGCAGGTGCCAGTTGCCTATACCCAATAACCTGGGGTTTTCAGAGTCAAGAAAAAGTACAGTAAACACTATTATCTTATCTTGACTTGAGGGAAAGTAATTTCTCAGAGGATTATAATTGTCACCGAAGCCTTAACTCCCTCGTCTTCCTGACTGAATGAAACTTGAATTGGCAGAGCGTTTTCCTAATGGAAAGGACAAGGTTCCTGGAGACCTGCATTACTTTCTCCTGGTTTTATTTAATGACTGATAAGTGACATTCTTTGACCAGAAGGTGGATATGCACCCAGATATGAAAGACCTTCAGTATTAGCCCGAACTGTTTCCTCCAGGCATGGAGCCTAGTGGGCTCTGTGGCCGCTTAGCCTAGCCTAGCCAGCCATAAGTGTGAATAGTTCTTGACATGTATAAATGGCAAAGGAGATTTTTTTTTTTTTTTTTTAAGATTTCTCCTAAGGGCTTGTTGCTAACACTAAAATAGAATCTGATTTTGACTCTTAAATGCAGCATATTGCTGTACACATTTATAGAATGTTTGCTGAATATCTCTGTTCTGATTTTTTTCATGCTGGTCATGACCCAAAGGAAATTTCTTAGCACATTATTGTATGTCAGGTGTTTTTAACTTGATCATGGTCAGCTCTGAGGTGCAACTTTTTGTTTCCCTACTGTACATACCTGTGACCACTCTGGGAGTGTGCAGTCTTGAATCATGCTGTTAGAACTGTCATGGTACAAGTTCTCTTGTCCAAATAAAATTTATTAATAAAGCTATAAAGAGAGATACATACATTTTTTATTGTTTTCTAGATGTCTACAAATAAATGCAATTTGCAACCTGTTTTAATGATTTAGTATAAAATGGGGAAACTAGATTAAAAATATTTGTCTTTTAACTAGTTCAGTAGTTTCTCTGGAATCTGCCTGTGTTTGCTGATCCGTTCTGCTCTTGGCAGACAGCAGAGCCTCTTGGAGCTGTTACTGCAGCCTAAGGACCATTGCAACTGGGCAACAACCATGGGTTTGTCCTGAAGCTCCTGCGATGCAGAAAGCATCTCTGAACTTCAGTTTTTTCCTGTGTAAAATGAGATTGGGTGAGAAGACCCTTCATTTGAAGGCTTGTTGTGAAGATCCCTCCACCTGAGTCCCTGTAGGGTTTCACAGTTACTCAGTGGGAGGGGATTCCTCAGTCGGAACAGACGGTTATCTTGAGCCTCGGTGTGAATTCAGAAGACTGCCTACATTAACTACTTCATATATAAACTAGTACTGACAAGTCTTTGGTTTGTTATTATTGCACTATAACCCAGATACCTGCACATTGGGAATATAAATATGAACAAATTTCGCTGGGGAAGATGTTGGAATGCGTGAAGACACACGCAGCTGCCCATAGTGGGTGCTGAGGCAGGGCCCAGGTGGCTGACTGAGTGTTGGCTTCTGAAGGCAGCATGAGAGCAGAGGTTGGGAAGAGGGGCTAGCCTACTCATTTCACTTAGTCTTATTTTTGAGGTGCAGCTTCTCTGCTGTTAATACAAAAATACACTTCTGCCCCTCAGAATTTCAGATGTAAGCTACATTAGAATCCTACATTAACAGCTGCAGGTTTTTGAAGCAGTGACAATGATAACATGATACCTTTAGGAGTAAAGAACCTGAGTCTATAGTGTGAGCAGCTGGAAAATTTAAAATACACAGTTTCCTGCTGCTTCTTGATAGTCTGTTGAGCAATGCCCTCTAGCCACCTTGGGGTGTCACAGTGCTCAGAACCCACTGGAATTTCAGATTTTAGTGTATTGAGTACAGAAAGGCACCTGCATTTTTTAGCTGCTCTAACACGGTACATTCAAGGACTTCCCACTTTGGATAATCTTGTGAAATTTGAAATGAGAAAAAAGGTCATTTCAGCTCCACATTTAGTAGTTGCCATGGTGATATTTCTGGAGTAGGACTAATGCTGCTGGTTGAGGGTGTGGCTTGCTCTTTCCTCAGGTGTGTTCTGGGACCACAGAAGCCCTGACCAGAGCACAGCAGGGACGCTGCTTCCTGTCTAGTACTCAGCCTCTTAGTACCTAGGGTCCGCCAATGGAGAAAACTGGCAGAACCTAGTGAAGGTGAACAGTGGGTTCAGCATCTCACCTCTCCCAGGAGGTGGAAGTAAAAAGCAAAACCATGACTGCTGAGCTTCATTTCATGATGTGAAAAAGTGCAAGTGAATAAAATGACAGCATATAATAAAAGTAGTACATGATATAAAATCACAATAAACACCTTGTAGGTATTTTAATACTGGAAAACTCATCTTACAAGAAGCTCTTATTTAAGTGGCTAAGGAAGAAGAAAGCCATCTTTTTCAGAATTGCCTAGTCTGGCAGTGCGCTTGGTCATGTCTTTCCCCAGAGCCCCTTCCTGACTGGACTCCACCCAGGTCTCTGTGATCTCTGCCGCCCCTCCCCTTGCCTGTGAGAAGTGTGTTGGCAAGCTTTTGTCTTCGGGAAGTTCAGATGGTGTTTTCTGTGTCCCTTGCTAACTGTCTCTATTTCCCAGAAGACCAGACTTCTGGTTTGCTTGCAGGGCTGGTCTGGGGAGTAGCCACCTTTCGCACATTACCTTTTTCCTGAAATCTTGCGAATGTCTGTGGTTTCTGACCACTTTAGCTTCTCTAGAACCCATTGACTCCATATAAAGAGAGCAGCAGTGCCAGTGTGTTAACAAGTGAGGTTGGCAGTTTTTGTCACAGAACATCTGCCTTGGGTGGGTCTTCAGGCTGCTGGGCAGGTAGAGTGGTAGTATAGCCCCGGCTCCTCAATCCTGTTGGTGAAATTCTACTTTTTTTTTTTTTTCAAAAGATTTCACGTGTTACTGAGTCATTCTTAAAGTAATCAAAGAAAAAGATCAGATTCCCAATATAAATTGTTCGACTGTCCAGGCAGTGTTGACACTTCCCACTTGGTGCCAAGATGATCATCGGTCATGATAGAGCATAAATGTGTGTTATCCCACGCAGCTCCTTGCAGACCCAGCTAGGTTCTCCATGTCTCCTCTTAAGAAGTGTACCTGGTTTTGTTACCAGTTTTCATCCGAATCCACTGGGGAATGGGACAATTTTGATTTTGTTTCTTAGTCAGGAATCACTTGCTCTGAAAGTCTTATGAGAAGACCTGGTAAGAAGCTGGGCCAAAAGCTGGTGAGGTCCCACTTTCTATGGGTGGGGGGTGTCTGTGTCCAGGGGGGTGTGGACTGCCAGAAACAGTATGTTGGGGGAGCTGCCATGAGAGTGGCGTGCTGTGAGCTGACAGGCTGTGGGGAGCTGTCCTCAGCACAGAGCGCTGTTCTATGCAGTGTTCCAGGAGACAGAAGCAGTGAGCAAAGAGACAAGTCAGAGCAGAGAAGTAGCCTCTTCACAATGAATCCTCTCACACCAGAGTGGAAATAAATGTGAAAAAAGCAACTGTGTGCTTTCTGTTGCACTTTTGAATTCCTGCCATAGGCCTTTACAACTGTAACTCAGGCTGGATGCAGCAGAGTGGGGGCCAAGGCTGGGCCCTTCCTCCACGTACTGTGGTGGAGTCTTAAGTGGCCTGGCTGGCTCAGAAGCTGTTCAGTCATGTTCCTCTCTCCTCAGAAGGCCAGATCCTGACTTAGGTGAGGGTGGGGAGGGGGCTGGCTCTCAAACCCCTCTGCCAGAAACTCCAGAACTTCGTGGTTTCTTAAATGTTTTAACCCAGTGGAGGTTTTGGCCTTGAGAAAGATTCAAAATTCCAATGAGGAGGACTTGAAGCAGTAGAGCACCTTCCTAAGAAGCACAAAGCCCAATAATGCCAAAAAGAGAAAGAAAAAACTCCGATGACAAAGTTTTGTTAAAGATATTTTCCATAGTGATGAACTAAGCCAGTTTAATTCATTTGTCCATTTCCTATAGAAAACGAATTCTTTTTAATTTTGTCCCACAGAAATTATTTTCTTCAGGAGTTCTTGGGACTGGGACTGTAGCTCAGTAGAGCTACTTTCCTTGCATGTTGGAGGCCTGGGTTCCATCCCAAGTATCACAAAAAAATTTTCTTCCCTAGAAAATGACAAAAGATCAAGTGATGACCAGGTTTTAGTGTGGTGGTTTGGGTTTATTTATGCCAAGTCATTATTTTTAGGTCAAATTTTGCTGGTTTAAATTTGACAAGATTTGGTATTTTCAGTTTTTAGTCATTTTGCCATATAACTGTTTCACCCTGATCAACTTTATTTAGTGCCTAATGATCCCTATACCTGTTATTAACTGGATACAGAACAATTACTGAGTGGTGTTTTCCAATGTTCCAAGGGAAGATCAGCTTTGTCAAAGATTCCTAAGCTGAGCTCTTGGCAGCCCTGCACATCATCCCTGTCAGGGATTTTTGGTGCCACAGGTTGGTAAGAGAATTAGGTTTCCTAGGACAGGTACTGCCAAAGAGAAGCAGCAGGCAACAAAATCCAAGAGTGTTACAGTTGGGGCCGGTTTATTAATGCAAAGTAAAGTGAAAGCCAAATGGGCATGCCCTCTGGAGGAGGGGTGGGCAATTAAGGAGGATTGCCCTGGGGCCCCAGAACCTCATGCTGCTATTGGGGTCTGCAGGGGGGTGTCAGTCCTGGAGAACTGGGTTGTGTGACATTAGCTGTCAGTGAATGGGCTATTTATCAACTCCTCCCACACGTGGCAGCAAGTGGGGTTAGACTTGCCTAGTCAGGCTGCTATTTTTGTGAGTGCCAGGGGCTACAGGGCAGCAAGACCCACTGTATGTGTGGTTCTGTTAGCATTGCCAGTTAGGATGAGAGTCCTTAGAAAGCTGTTGGTACGATTAGCCTTGGTTCTAAGCCATGTTTCCTCACTACCTACTTTGGCCCCATAAGTCCTTTGGCGCTCCAAATTCCCAGCAGAAGTCCAGGTTTGGCCTGGCACTGAGGAGTGCAAGTGGAACTTCACTCTGCACGGACGCCATAGAAGTCGGGGGCAGAGGAGCAGGGACTTGCGGCAGGCAATGATCTCCAGGCCCGCACAGCTTACTCCAGGGACAACCAGCTGCACCTTCCTGCCAAGGTCAGCAGAGGAGGTGCCACCAGCCTGTCATGGCAGCAAGGCTCCTAGCTAGCTCTTTTGCGTGGCCATTTATTGAAACTTTTCTGCACTTTCTGGTTTTGTTTGGCTTTCCAAAGGAAACCACATGGGACATACTTAAACTAACCACATATTCATTGTTGTGAGTTCCAAACTGAAGGGGATGCTCTTCAGTTTACATGGCAACCCTGCAGCAAACTCAAGGCATGGATTGAAGCCCAGAGTATCTTCCTCCCAGGGACATGTCGGGTGACAGCCAGTAGTACATTGTGCACAGCTGGCCCCAGCCTGTACAGACCTTAGTTTGCCCCCATTAGACTTTTTGTATTGTAAAAATTTCACAAATGCTTGTGTACTTTGAACA